AACCCCGGGTGGCAGCAGTCGAGGGACGCGAGCGGTGCAGCACCAGCGACCTGCAGAGACAGGGAAACTCCCATCAGCCACGGTGAGCCCGGGCTGGAGGACCAGCAGCCAGTGTTGGGCTACACTTAGCTGGGGGTAAGTCCAGGAGGTGGCCCACCCCAGCCTGCAACCAGGCCACAGGGAGGGGGACACATACCCTCCTGCACTGGCCCACCCGCCCTGACCACCCAGCCACATTGTTGGGTAAAGCCCTGGGCTGCGGAAGGCCTAGGAATTATGCTCTGATGGGAAGCCTCATGCTGAGGGACCTCTCCTAGACATACCCAGCACATGCTGCTGGGGCCTTTGGGACACCAGGTGCCACAAGGCCCCCCTGCCATCGGCCCCTCACAGAGCCCTCCCTGAATGGGTGGGGCCGCTGCATGGACCCTCCTCATCCAGCCCAGGCTTTCTGAGGACGCTGGGCTGCCCTCAAGGTCAAGGGCCGTGAGGTCTAGGACACCCGTGGGACTAGATGGCAGACAGACCCAGGCCATGAGAGCAGGCCTAATGGCCTCAGTTCCTCAGGCCACCGGGCACCTCCATCCCTGCTGCCCCTCCTCCTGCCCCTCCTGCCCCAAGGATGCCAGAGAGCAGGCCGAGTCAGGGGCCAGGGCCCTGCCCACCCCAAATGCCATGAGTAGGCTGCCCAAGGAGGCTGGGAGAGCCGGCCTGAGTGCTGTGTCTCGTCAGCCACACGCTTGTGCTAAGAGTGAGTGCACATCAGCTCAGAGCCTGGTGCCCAGACGCTGGGCACCTTTACACGGTGGGGTGGCAACAGCAGCTCCGCTGGCAGTGGGGGCACTCGGGTGGGGTGAGGGTAGCTGACCCTGGCCATGCGGGGCTGTGCCTCTTCTTCCCCCTCCTCAGAAGGTCAGTAGGACCCCCGCGTCCCACCTAGGCCCAGCTCCTACAGGAAGCAAGGCCTTGGTGCCACCAAGACCACCAGCCTGCCTGCAGCTACAGGGTCCCCCCAAAACGCAGGTCTGCATGCTACATGGAGGAAGGGCTTGCATGGCTGAAGGTGGCCTGGCCTGGCCCGATGGCCCTGGCCTCCCTCGGCAGAAAGTCACTCACCAGTGGGGGTGCTGGGAAGAGCAGCAGGTCTGGGCTGTGTTGTCACCCCATCTAGTACCCGGCCTCTGGGGCCTGGCTGTCGCCGTCTGCACGCTGGGGTGACTCTTGCGGGCCCATTCGGGATGACGTGAGCCAAGCACATGGGGCCCTCAGGGTCACCTGCAGCACAGAGCAGCCAGGCCGAGGAGGCACAGGAAGCACCTGACCCAGTGTCCCTTCATTAAAACTCCAGCTCTCTTGGAGGGAAGTCCCCACATGGAACGCAAGCTGGGCCCTTGGCCCAGTCCCACGGCGCCCCTAAAGCAAGAGGGGCAGGGTAGGGCAGGCACCATCGGACCTCAGGGCGCCTGTGGGCCAGCGCACATCTGCCTTAGCTGAGGAGCCTGCTGTCCCTGGAGCTGCAGACACTGCCCCGAACCCTGACCCCAGTCAGAAGCTGAGCCCTGGGCAGAGCACACCACAGCTCGCTTACCTGAGGCACAGCCCCCGGACTGTCCCGGTGGTGGCAGCAGCCCAAGGGTTGGCAGGTGTGCGCTCGAGTGGGCAGCGCACAACTACCCCCATCATCCCCTCGCTGCCAGGGCCTTCAGTGGTCTCACCACCCACCGGGCAGCTGCCCCTTTGCTCGCCAGCCAGGGCAGCATGGGAGAGGGACAGTCTGAGGCAGGGGGACAGCCCACTGTAGCGCTGGCTACAGGCCCAGCCTGTGGTCCACATCACAGGGTTGCTCTGAGCGCCAGCCCAGTCTGACTCGGGAGCTCCACCTAGGCCAGGCAGGCCCTACCCACCACCCAGTAGGCTAAGTGAGGGAATGGGAAGAAAGATTCTTGGGGCTCCCTCACAGCCATGAAGCACAGGGCCAGGCCAGACCACATGGGAATGTGCCCCTGGCTAAGGCCCAGCTCCTGCTGACAGGTGTCCTGGGGGCTAGCCTGTGAGGCCTCATGCAGGAGAGGAGGGGAAGGCACCTACTCCCCACCCACAGCTCCCTGGGGCAGCCACACAGCAGCCAGGAGGGCCCTCGGGGTAGGGGCAGGAGGTTACAGTCTCAGGCAGGGGCTGTGACGGGCGTGCCTCAAGGACCCAGGGGCCATGGAGAGCTCCGGAAGGGCTTGGGGCAGCCCAGTCCTTGGCACCTGCTCTCTGGCCACACCTGACCCTTACGTGAGGTGAGCACTGGCCCCGACTCCTCTCCCCAGGAGGAGTCACTGGCTGTGAGTGACAGAGGGTGAGTGCGGGTGCGGGTCCGTGTGAGACGAGTGGGCCCAGGGTCTGTGCGTGTGCATGCCTGTGACCCAGGGCCCCAGGGGGTGACAACAGGCACCACCCACTGCTGGGCACACCTGGGGCTGGAACCTGCAGAGGAGCCACAGGTTGGCGGGGGCTTCAGGGAGGCCTGGCTCAGCAGCCCAGATACAGCTGTCTGGGCCTCGCCCCTGCTGGCCTCCACTGGTCTGGAGCCCACAGAGGAGAACACCAGGGGCGAGGAGGGGCGGGGGGGCCGGTGGTGTCACAGCCTCCCGTAGTTGTCACCCTGATGGAGGACAGCCTTTGGAAGCGGACTGCATTGAGAAGAGGGGTAAAATTAACGAGATAATAGCAGGGCCAAGGACCCAGCGAGTGCGCCTGCCCTCACGGCTAGGCCCTGTAATTCCTTTTCTGCAAAGGGAGCCACAGATCTAAAGGCTCTTCCCGTCCGGCCGGCAGGCCCACGCCGCCAGGAAATTTCATTAACGCTGGAAAATAGGAAAGGTATTAAGCGTGGATAATGAAGGCCAGGGAGGGACAGTGCCTTAAGATAGTCTTCTCTCTCGCCTTTGTAATGGGAGGCATGAACTTTCCCTTCAAATCCATTTCTAATCCATTTGAAATACTACAGCAAATTATCTCTCCTTCAGCCCGAAAGCGGCCAGCCAATTTACTCCGAATAGAAGTGACAATGCCCCAGGATTTATCACCATAACCTTGACTACACCAGGGTGAGGCCGGGCCTCCCCTCTCCCCCTGGGGGGGCACAAAGGACGGCTGGGGGGAGATAACATTTTAAATGGGAAGCAGTGGTAAAGGAGAGACACACGCCACCAAGTAGGTTCACAGAGTGGGAAGTCTGCACGCCCACCGCCCGGGAGCAGCTGGAAGTTTCCAGGCGGGGGCCGTCCAGGTCAGCAGGGGCAGTGGCAGGTGCTCCAGAGGCAGAGCCTGGCTCTCCGACCACCACCCAGAGCAGGGTGAGAGAGCCGAGGGAAGAGACACCAGGGAGGCATCACTGGGGGGAGGTCTAGGCAGGCAGAAGGCAGAAGGGAGGTCTTTCTCCCCAAGGTCTTTCAGCCTCTCCTGTGAGCCCAGGGTCGAGCCCAGGCCCCTGCTGCCAATGCAGGGCACACCTGTAGGCAGAGGTCGCAAGCTCTGCCTGCTAGGCTCTGCACCTCCTGAGCCCCAGACTGCCACCTTGCCTGTACAGGGGCCAGAGGAGCCACCCCGAGGGCGCTGTAGCTCCCACTCGCTGAGCTCAGGCAGCCGGCCTGCAGGGCTGGTACGGAGTCTCCGCTCCACCTCGCAGACTGAGGCCCACATCTGCAAGCCCAGCTCTGTGCCACCAGACCAGAAATGCACACACATGTGCGCGCACACAGCCACCAGTCAGCAGAAATACATCTGGCAAACGTCCTAAAGGCCACTCACCCACCCCTGGAGCCCTGCCCCTGGGCTGCTCTCTGGGGTAGCTTCCACGCCTGCACCCTGTGAGTCTCTGGGCCATAGGAGTGACCACGCAGGGCCAGGAGCAGCAGGGCCCTTCAGGACACCTGGGCAGGCTGGACTCGAGGGGTTGACTACCAGGAGCCACAGGCCCTTGGGCCCTCGCTGGCCACAGCCCCGGTGCCTGGGAGGCACCGGGCTCCTCCCACACAGAGACGTGGCACACGCTCCCCTTCTGCCTGGGCCATGTCCTTGGGCACCCTCCTGGCCCTGAGACAGTGCCCGGCCCTGCTCCCTGCCAGGCCCTTGCCAGGACCCCTGAGGATGGACTCTGCTGAGCCCACAGCGGTGTTCCAGCCCCAGGCTGTACTGGGGAAGGCAGCTGCATCAATGCGTTCACGGGAGCACCTGCCAGGCCCGGAGGGCCCTGCAGTGCTACCCCGGCCTGGGACCTCACAGTAGGGGCAAGAGGAGCCAGCCCTGCAGGCCGGCTGCCTGAGCTCAGCTGGGAGCTGGTACGGTCAGGACACAGGCTGGCCAAGAACAAAGGCGGCCGTGGGCTGGCGGGGGGCCGGCAGCTGGGAAGGCACTCTGAGCTGCCTGCTGAAGGGCTCCTCTGGCTGCTGCAGCGTCAGTGCACAGGCCAGGGACCTGGTTAGTACCGACCGACCGTGCAGGGGCGGGCGGGCTGGGGGAGAGTCAGCCAGAACACTCAGGATGTGGATCTGGAGCGGCGCTTCTCCGAGCAAGAGCAAGCAGAGAGAGGAGCGGAGCGGAGCGGAGAGGGGCGAGCACGGGAGTGCACCGTCAGCAGAAGCTGGCGGCCGCAGCTCGCAGGGCGAATCCCAAGTAGGTCAGGCGGAGCCACCGTGACAGGCACTAAACTGCTTAAGTGGGCTTTCCACCGGAAATGCTGACGACGGGCGGGCAAGGGCAGGAGCGTGCGCCCCGCGTGTGTGTGTGTGTGCATGTGTGTGTGTGTGTGTGTGTGTGCGCGTGCGTGCATGTGCACATGTACTGCTGCGGGCCGGCCAGGAGCGCCCTCTGGGGTGGGGGCCC